ACCCAAATCACAGCAGAGAATCTGGAAACTTGGTGAGGTTAAAAAAAAAAAACAAAAAAAAAACAAAAAAAAAAAAACAAGATATTTCAAGGAGAACCTTGCAGGGTATTCCAAAGTTCAATACAGATGGCCACAGTGCCACAGAGGCAAAGATTCCATCCAGAAGCACTGAGATCTCTTGATGTGGTCACATGGGAGGGGCACCTGGGAAGGATGGAAAGGGTGATAGAGGGTGCTTCATGGGGGGCGTTCACACTCAGAGCAAGGCCTGGCCTGGAGGCCCCATGGCCCTGGAGCCTGGTGGGGTGGGTCAGAGCTTCTCTAGGTTTTCCTTCCTGCTCCATTCAGAAATCACAGATGATGTATGGATTTCTTTCCTAACCTGGCTTTAATATCTCATTGACATTTTTGCTTTGAGTTATACTTCACATTTCCTGTTCTTAAAGAGCTCTAAAGACAGCATATTTGATTTCTGCCTCTCCCTCTCCCATTCCACACACTGAGGGTAACAAGAAAATGTTTCCCTACCTCTACACCAAAGCCATTTACAAGGCTTTGTACAGAAATTGGCTGAAGGGCACCATCCGAAGCCCATTTGGGCAGGTCTTGGTTAAGATGGAGGTGTTTGTCCTTAGCTGTGACAGAGTGTCTGCTCACCTGTTGCTTAAACCTGCATCAACCTCTTTTAGAATGTGAGCTATTTCCTTGACGTCAGTTTAGATTTTTTTTAAAGATCATTACAGGTATGTGTTCTACCCAGTCTGTCAGGTAGGAACTTCTTTGTCTGAATTGTTTATGTATCGTAGCAACATTGATAAATGTAATAAATTAATGAAAGTAAATCCTCTGGGACAGAGCAGGGGCCGCCAGGCAGTCTGGGCATAGACTTGGCTTTATTTTATGTTCACTTTGTCTCAGGTGCTCCCTCCTCCAAGTATATGTGCATGCGCACCACTCACACACACCTTTTAATCTTATAACAGATTTCTTCATTAAAAAAAGAAAATGGTCGGGCTTGGTGGCTCACGTCTGTAATCCCAGGACTTTGGGAGGCCGAGGCAAGCAGATTGCTTGAACCCAGGAGTTCAAGACCAGCCTGGGCAACCTGGTGAAACCCCGTCTCTACAAAAAAATACAAAGATTAGCTGTATGTGGTGGTGCATGCCTGTAGTTCCAGCTCCCTGGGAGGTGGAGGTTGCAGTGAACTGAGATCACACCACTGTACTCCAGCCTGGGTGACAGAAGGAGACCCTGTCTCAAAAAAAAAAAAAAAAAAAAAGATATATATAACACATTTATTTCAGACTTTTAGAGTTTAGCCAGAAGGTACTTACAGCACCTTTCACTGTAGTTTAAAACCCTCAGTCTGTTTTACAGCTTCTACCAGCCTGTTAGTCAATACTTTTCTCCATGTTTACCCCCTTAGCACACACACTCTGTGAAAGTAACGACCATAGGCAGCTTCTAAAACATTTTGAGAAATGGATTCCTGAAAATGTGTGGGGATGTGGTGTCCTAGTGGGTCTTTGAGAAGTAATCAGTCATGTAGAGGCCTCCCATGGGGACCGGCCCTCCCTATGTGGGGTGTGGACAGCCAGGAATAAAGTGTGCAGTCGTATTTGGTCTAGGGAGTAAAAACAGGTGACCACTACATCATCTCTCCAGAGTAGTATATATTTTCTCTTTAAATATGCTACTGATTTTTGCATTTTAAAACATATCCTGGTCAGAGGAGCCCAGCCTTGTCCTTGTATGCTTTTTACCATGTATAAGATACCGTGTCTGTCCTCATCGGCTGTTTCCTTCTGTATTGATGTCATTCAACAATCTCTCCATACTTGCTCTGCTTAAAGACCTCACTTGTTATGAACTCGATGTATCAAGCACTGAATTGGACTCTGGAGATGGAGGCAGTGAGCACCCATGCCCTCCCCTGGTTGCATATGTTCCCGCAGCTGCGGCAGGGCTGTCCGTGTGGTACCTCCTTGCACGGTCATTCTGGCCCATGCATCTTGTTTCCTGGATCCTGTCATCTTCTTTACAGGTTTCTTTCCTCGCTTTAGAGGAACACATCCCTTTAATAACTTCCTGGGAAGGAATGAATGCAAGGTAAAATTGAGTCCTGAGTATCTGAACATCTTTCCCTCTACTCACTTGATGGATAGTTTGGGAAGAGAATTCTACACTGAGAATAATTTTCCACTCCTCCCACTTTTGAAGGCATTGTTGTCCTTCAGCTTCCGGTGGTGTTATCTGTGTCCGGTGCCATTTCCATTTCTGATTATTTGTATATGCCCTTTTTCCTCCTCTTTGGAACTTTTCAGATTGCTTTATCCTGTAGTTTTTATACTGGATACTTTTATACTGTACTTTTTATACTGGATACCTAGAGTTTAACCCAGGCACCTGACTCCCTTAGTTCTGGATCCATTTTTTATATTGTTGTTTTCCCTCCTACGTACTTTTTGTTCCTAGAATGATTACTTTTCTCTCCTGCTGTCTTTTTTTTATCGTTAATGATCTTCTAGGGATTTCTTCAATTTTATCTTCAAACTCTACTCCTTTGTTTCACTGTTTTGTGTTTGGTTTCGAGGGTTTTTTCCTCTGATTTTTCATGTTTATAGTTTTCTGTTTTGGTTGCATGGATGCACTATGTTCCCTTTGACTATATTGTAGCTTTTCGTTGTTGTTTTTGAGTTTTTCTTCTGTTCACTGCGTTGTTTCTGTTCCACCAAGGTTTTTTGCTTTTGTTTTGTTTCCATCATTCCCATTTGGAACCCTTTTTCAGCTGCCTGATGATCCTTGACTGTTGATTCTCATTTAAGAGTGAAGCATTGAGAAGCTGACCAGAAGCTGTGTAGCTGAGGTTTTTAAAACTAGTATCTTTGCTGTAATGATCCAGCTTTTTGGTTGATGTTTTTGTTGGCAGACTCTAGGTATCTATGGTATCCAGAAAAGACTTCTGGACCTGGGCTTGCAGTGGTGCAGGCCTGTGGCAGTCCCTGAACAAGGGACCAATAGCTGCTTCAAGATTTTAGAGCCTGCAACAAATCTTTCTAAACCTCTCTTCTCTTTGAGTCCTCATACTACATTTGCCACCTTATAGCCCTGCTGTTTGTACCCAAGAATCAGCCCAGCTGGAAAGTGAACAGTAAGGATGCTTTGGGCAGGAAGTTGATAAGGCTTCTTTTGTTGTGACCCACAGAAGAAGCAAAGTAAAAAAAAATAAGTTAACGTGGTTAATCCAAGCCTGGTGGCAGGGCCTATATCTTCATGTTGTTTGTATCTGGCCCGCGCATCCAGGACTTGAAGGAATTCTGGCGCCAGTTGCTTACTGCCTTCTCTCAGCAAGCCCCAGATTATTTCTTTGCTTCAGTTTACTTAAAACAAGAGTTTGAGATTTGCTTTCCTGTAGTTGATAGTAAAGTTGAGAGTAGGTAGCAGAAGAGGCATGTAAAATTCCATATAAAGTGTGCCCTGTGTGCTGCATGGGGGTCAGAGTTGGAGTTTCTCCTCCTAGCCTAGGGAGGCCCTGCTTCCCACCCCTGTAGAAAACCTGACCACCTTTTCTAATTAATTGTACAGTGGGGCAGGGATTTCAGTGGTAAGTCCATGTGTGCACCTCCCATGTGGGAAGCATAAGCAGTGTGGGAAGGAAAGTTGGAAACAGCGGCAGCACTTTGGAGGACCTGTAATTCCACTCTGATTCTTGCTCTAAGACCAGACTCACAGGTGTCCAGGAGGTAAAGGTCAGCACTCCTAGGACCCCAGCTCTGTGCGGGGCCTGGCAGGCATGCCGGCTCCCTGTTTTCTTTTTACTTTATGAGAAAAAGAAATAAGGTATTAAAGTGCCAATTTATATTTCTCTACTATTATGGTAGTTGCAGTGGCTCAGGAAGGCAAATAAACCAGTCCGCCAGAATCCGCATCATCCCTTATCAAGAGTTAGTGTTTAACAGTATGATCAAAAAACCACCATGAACTTGAAACAGGACTAATTTACCAGATACCAAGCTCAAATGCTTTCACTGAACATTTTTTGCAAACTATTATTCTACCTTCCAACAGGCTTTGTAAAAACGTTCATCTCCTTGCTCAGATGTACTGAGGCATCAGGCACATTCCCTTCCTAACTTGAGGGAACCCATTTTGGCTGATGGCCCATAAGCTTATGGTGTCCGAAAACCTGCGCCATGGGGCGGAGGCAGAGTTGGTGGAATAGTGAGCCCTGTGCATCCTGCCTGTTTCCCATTTGCCAGCATTTTCTGAGCCCCCAGGCACCAAGCTCTGTGCTTGTGCCAGAGACCCCATGCTGAGCAAGCAGGCCCGCTCCTGCCTCCACAGAAGCCCTGGGAGAGGGGCACCTTCCTCGTACACAGGGAGGCCAGCAGCGTGAAGAGGGTTTTCAGTGCTTCCTTCCAGAGACTTCACAGAGCCTTGTTTCATCCTGACAGCGTCCTTGCAGGGCCAGGCCTCCTTCTGCCCTGATTGGCTTTCCTTTCCCTTAGCTCCCTGGAAGAAGGGTAACCGTTCACTCAGGTTGTTTGCCTGGAGTTCTTCTGGCTCTCAGGAGGAAGTTTATTCCCATAGATAGAAGCCGCAGAGTCTGCTATTCAGGTCTTCAGCCAGGGATGCATGACTCTGTGGGCGCCTTTCACAGGCATAGTGGGACGGGGGTGGCATTGTCTTTCAGGCATGCTCATGTGGTGGCACCGTGATCTCAATTTTATACCTTTTCATTATGGGACAACTTTTTCATCACTCTGTTTGCCTGTAAAATGATATTGGCCAACTTTGGTTATTAACCCTTATTTTCTTAAGCAGTTTCTATGTATGAATTCTTCTAACCACATTGGGCTGCTGTTGACTGGGCCTTATCTAGGGCCTTTTGTGTGCTGTGGTCCATTCAGAAACATTTCTAATATTTGCGTTTTCTTTAGCATGTGCTGGCACTCAATCATAGAATACTAAATTTGTGATCTCTTTTTTTCCCGTAACAGATGCAGCAGCTTTTTTATGAGAATTATGAACAGAACAAAAAGGGGTACATTAGAGATCTCCATAACAGTAAAATTCACCAAGCTATCACATTACACCCCAACAAAAACCCACCCTACCAGTACAGGCTCCACAGCTACATGCTCAGCCGCAAGATCGCCGAGCTCCGCCATCGCACAATACAGCTGCACCGCGAGATTGTCCTGATGAGCAAATACAGCAACACAGAAATTCATAAAGAGGACCTCCAGCTGGGAATCCCGCCCTCCTTCATGAGGTTTCAGCCCCGCCAGCGAGAGGAGATTCTGGAATGGGAGTTTCTGACTGGAAAATACTTGTATTCGGCAGTTGACGGCCAGCCCCCTCGAAGAGGAATGGATTCCGCTCAGAGGGAAGCCTTGGACGACATTGTCATGCAGGTCATGGAGATGATCAATGCCAACGCCAAGACCAGAGGGCGCATCATTGACTTCAAGGAGATCCAGTACGGCTACCGCCGGGTGAACCCCATGTACGGGGCTGAGTACATCCTGGACCTGCTGCTTCTGTACAAAAAGCACAAAGGGAAGAAAATGACAGTCCCTGTGAGAAGGCATGCGTATTTACAGCAGACTTTCAGCAAGATCCAGTTTGTGGAGCATGAGGAGCTGGATGCACAGGAGTTGGCCAAGAGAATCAATCAGGAATCTGGATCCTTGTCCTTTCTCTCAAACTCCCTGAAGAAGCTTGTCCCCTTTCAGCTCCCTGGGTCGAAGAATGAGCACAAAGAACCCAAAGATAAAAAGATAAACATACTGATTCCTTTGTCTGGGCGTTTCGACATGTTTGTGAGATTTATGGGAAACTTTGAGAAGACATGTCTTATCCCCAATCAGAACGTCAAGCTCGTGGTTCTGCTTTTCAATTCTGACTCCAACCCCGACAAGGCCAAACAAGTTGAACTGATGAGAGATTACCGTATTAAGTATCCTAAAGCCGACATGCAGATTTTGCCTGTGTCTGGAGAGTTTTCAAGAGCCCTGGCCCTGGAGGTAGGATCTTCCCAGTTTAACAATGAATCTTTGCTCTTCTTCTGCGACGTCGACCTCGTATTTACTACAGAATTCCTTCAGCGATGTCGAGCAAATACAGTTCTGGGCCAACAAATATATTTTCCAATCATCTTCAGCCAGTATGACCCAAAGATTGTTTATAGTGGGAAAGTTCCCAGTGACAACCATTTTGCCTTTACTCAGAAAACTGGCTTCTGGAGAAACTATGGGTTTGGCATCACCTGTATTTATAAGGGAGATCTTGTCCGAGCGGGCGGCTTTGATGTTTCCATCCAAGGCTGGGGGCTGGAGGATGTGGACCTTTTCAACAAGGTTGTCCAGGCAGGTTTGAAGACGTTTAGGAGCCAAGAAGTAGGAGTAGTCCACGTCCACCATCCTGTCTTTTGTGATCCCAATCTTGACCCCAAACAGTACAAAATGTGCTTGGGTTCCAAAGCATCGACCTATGGGTCCACACAGCAGCTGGCTGAGATGTGGCTAGAAAAAAATGATCCAAGTTACAGTAAAAGCAGCAATAATAATGGCTCAGTGAGGACAGCCTAATGTCCAGCATTGCTGGAAAAGACATTTTTAATTATCTAATTTATTTTTCAAAAATTTTTTGTATGATCAGTTTTTGAAGTCCGTATACAAGGATATATTTTACAAGTGGTTTTCTTACATAGGACTCCTTTAAGATTGAGCTTTCTGAACAAGAATGTGATCAATGTTTGCCTTTGAACACATCTTCTTGCTGAACATTATGTAGCAGACCTGCTTAACTCTGACTTGAAATGTACCTGGTGAACAAAACTTTTTTAAAGAAATGTTTTCTTTTGAGACCCTTTCGCCAGTCCTATGGCAGAAAACGTGAACATTCCTGCAAAGTATTATTGTAACAAAACACTGTAACTCTGGTAAATGTTCTGTTGTGATTGTTAACATTCCACAGATTCTACCTTTTGTTTTTTGTTTTTTGTTTTTTTTTTTACAATTGTTTTAAAGCCATTTCATGTTCCAGTTGTAAGATAAGGAAATGTGATAGTAGCTGTTTCATCATTGTCTTCGGGAGAGCTTTCCAGAGTTGATCATTTCCCCTCAATGGTACTCTGCTCAGCATGGCCACGTAGGTTTTTGGGTTTTTGTTTGGTTGGTTGGTTGTTTTATTTTATTTTTTATTTTTATTTTTTTGAGACAGAGTCTCGGTCTGTCTCCCAGGCTGGAGTGCAGTGGCACAGTCTCGGCTCACTTTAACCTCCACCTCCCTGGTTCAAGCAATTCCTCTGCCTCTGCCTCCCGAGTAGCTGGGATTACAGGCACATACCACCACGCCCGGCTAACTTTTTTATATTTTCAGTAGACACGGGGTTTCACCATGTTAGCCATACTGGTCACGAACTCCTGACCTCTGGCAGTCCACCCACCTGAGCCTCCCACAGTGCTAGGGGTGAGCCACCACGCCCAGCTGGCCACGTAGGTTTTAAAACAAGGGGCATAAAGAAAGCACAGTGAGATATGTGGCCGTTCTCGTGGTAGTTCATTTGGCCTAAATGGACCTGGCATGAAATTTCAAGAAGGATTTGGCATTTTCTCTTCTTGACCCTTCTCTTTAAAGGGTATAATATTAATGTTTAAAATGACAAAGATGAATTATTACAATAAATCTGATGATGTACACAAACTGAAACACACACACATACCCCCTAATGAAAACATTGGGGAAAAACCTATTTGGTTTTGTTCCTTTCATCCTGTCTGTGTTATGTGGGTGGAGATGGTTTTCATTCTTTCATTACTGTTTTGTTTGATCCTTTATATCTGAAATACCTTTAATTTATTTAATATCTGTTGTTCAGAGCTCTGCCATTTCTTAAGTACCTGTTAGTATTATTTATGTGTATCAGGAGTGTGTTTAGTCTTTTATTTGCAGTAAACCGATCTCCAAAGATTTCCTTTTGGAAACGATTTTTCCTCTCCTTAATTTTTATATTCCTTACTGTTTTACTAAATATTAAGTGTTCTTTGACAATTTTGGTGCTTATGTGTTTTGGGGACAAAAGTGAAATCAATCTGTCACTATACCAGAAAGTTAGTTTTTTAAACTCTCAGATCAAATGTGCCTTAATAAATTTTTTTTTTTCATTTAGATTTCAAACAGTGATAGACTTGCCATTTTAATACACATCATTGGAGATCTGCGTATTTGTAAATAGCCTGATGCTCATTTGGAAAAATAAACCAGTGAACAATATTTTTCTATTGTACTTTTCAGAACCATTTTGTCTCATTATTCCTGTTTTAGCTGAAGAATTGTATTACATTTGGAGAGTAAAAAACTTAAACACGATTCATAAAGTTTTTCAAGTTATTTGAGGGAAATACTTCTGTGGACTGCAGTTTGGGAGTGAAATGAAACCCAGATTCAAGTGCTTCCTTCTGTTTTTTCCTCGAATGAGCTCGTCCTTTGTTTGTTCCTCATCAACTCGCTGACTCCATGTTCTCCAAAACAAAGGTCTTCAAACCAGGCCCAGGCCCCATCTGGCTCCTTGATAGAAATGTCCCCTCCGAGGCCCCACAGAATCTGCATTTTAACAAGTGCCCCGCGTGGTGCTGCGGCACAATTCGGGGTTCCGGGATCAATCTAGCTAGAGGATAAATCAGCACAGTTGCAGTATAACCCAAGAATCAAAAGCTTTTAAGTGAGATCTTTGATGCCAAGGTAGCAAGCTGGTGTGGACAAGCATTGCCCCCAGGACAGGTATATTTACAGTGTAATGACAGTTAAGTCCCAGCATAATGACATTGCACTCACAGAAAGAATTTCCGTAATTCAGCCTAATTGCCATTTACTCTGTGGGAGTGTTTAGTTTTTTCTTGGAGAAAAAGCAGAGACATTTTTATTCTTCGGTAAGGAAGAGCGTAATAATGCACCTTAATGACAAAGTATTATAAATTCTTTCCTATTTACCATAGTAACAGACGGGGGGGATTTGGGGATGTGGTTGAGTGACACGTTTGAGTGTTCATCCAGCATTTCGGTGACCCTTGGTTAAACCTGCCATTTCTTTCCCTGCTCCCACTCCTGATCAGGTCTGTCCCTCTTCCCGATGGCGGTGTTGGTGTTCATGGAAGCACTGCCTCCTTTCCAGGCTTGGTTTCCAGAAACGCGGTGGGACCCCTCCCGTGGCTCCCCATCCTGGCAGTGGTGTGCCTGCACTCCGCATGCTGGCCTCCAGGTTCCACTCGCCTCTCGGTCACCTGGTGCTCTTTTGGCCAGAGGGTAAACTCAACAGTTCCACTGGCACCTGGGTCCTCCTTAGCCTGGCTACTGTCCCTGCATCTCTCATCCCCATTCTACAGGGCACCTCCTCCAGCCACTGGGCCCTATGACTGTGGGGCCTTCTTGTCTGTGGCCCTGGCACACACTTTTCCCTCCATCTGGACAACCTGACTCCCCAGGACGCAGCTGAAACACCCCACTGTCCACTCTGCTGCCACCCTGGACCCTTCTGTGGGATATGACAACAGCTGGACCTCCTGTGACCGTGTGGCAGTATCTCCCTCACTAAAGCCCCTCAAGGAGGCCTGGGGCTCTTGTTCCTGCCAGTCCCCTGGCATGTTGGGAACCACACTGCCCTACTCTCTCAGTGCCCTCTCCACGTGTGCCTCCTGCCAAAGGCATGCCCTCCTGTCCTCCGCAGTGAGCCCTCATGCCATTGCACAGGCTGAGACCTGCGGCCCCTAGTGGGCCTGGAAATAATCCCTACCCCCTGAAACTCAGGAAGCTTCCTACTTTACCCTTTCACTGTTGCTTCCTGTCGACTCCTGTGAACAGTATTTTAAAATTGTAGTGTGTAAGTATGGCCGAAGAAGGGGAGAAGGGCACAATCAAAAAAGCATGGAGAACCTCGCTCCTTTCTCCCAGCGCCAACTCAGGCCTTCCCACAAAGAGCCACCAAGTTTGTCCTGGCCAGGAAGGCAGAAGTATATGTATAGATGCATAGACAACATTTTTGAACTTTGCACACAAATGAAAGGGAATTCCTTCTCTCTTGGGCATGGGGAGCCTCAGGGCAGAAGATGGACATGGCTTCATGACCCATGTCATGGTGCGTGGGGAGGGGTTGCCAGTGGAATCCTGGCCTTCTCCTTGGATGCCAGGGGCCCTGCCTGGAGTGGGACCAGGAGAGCCTTATGGGGCAGACAGCACTGGCAGACCAGGGGAATCTGCAGTTTGCTTCCAGAAGGCAGGTCACCTTCCCTGCACTGCTGTTCTAGGCTGGGATGAGACCGGAGCATGGATGTGGGCCTAGCATCCCAAGGTCTTCTGTGGAGGCGAGGCCATGTGTCACAAGGTCTTGAGACAGTCCCTCTTGGCTGCAAAAGCAGGAAGGCCTCGGGAGCGAAGGCGGCGCATTCCCTCCACTCCAGGATGGGAGGGCCAGGGAGGGCGTTTGTGAACTCGCAGCTTGGGCCCTTCAATAGTTCAGATAATGGAAGGAACTCTGACCCTTGATGTCTCATCTTATTCCCGCCCCCGTCCCAAACACACCTTTGTGGCCTGCTGATAAGTTATTGAGGCCTATAGGCAAAGTCTGTCTGAGCCCCTTCCTGCTATTTCACAAAGGCATCAAAGCCTAGGCCCTGACTGAGCCCAGAAGTGGACATGGGTTTCTTTCCCCCGAGACCAGCAGGCTCAGAGCGCTCACCGGCCATCTACATAGCAGTTGACCTAAGCAAAATGATTATCATATTTGCCTCCTTGCCATGCCCTTGAAGGATCACCTAGAGGTCTGGGCATTCCTGCAGCCACCTCCATTCACTACTCAGTGTGTTCACCAAGTCAAATGTACACGCTAGTGAGTTACCAGCACCACAGTCCATCTCGTAAGGACAACACTTAGGTTATGGGAACCAGTAGCTTTCAGAGGCATTCTCTCAGCTGTTTAGGGTCTCGTTTCTCAAGACCCATCCTCCAGGAAGGTGACACACCTACCTACTGCACTGAGGGGCTCCTGCCCAGGCCCCGGGTGGCAAGGTTTCCTCTTGTGCCCTCCATCACAGAGGAAGCCAAGGGCCAGCCCTCGCTGTGCCTGCACAGACGCCTGCCCTGGGGTATTAGGCTGCATTACTGCTATATAACTTGCTGTAATCTCTACTGCAAAGGAGCTTATGTGCTTCAGCTGGAGCGGGGGTGGTCTGTCAGCTCAAGCGGCTGCACAGAGCTGCTACCTGCCGCGGTGGGTCCCGCTGTGCTTGCTAAACCCTTGAAAGATGGCCCCTTCTTTTCTGCTTGAAATGAAAATGCTTGCACCAAATCTGCTTAGTCTAGCTTGTTATAAATGCTACGAAAATGTAAAGATTACAATGCAATGGATCAAATCACAGTAACCCATTTTGAATGGCTTCCAGTAGAAAGCAGATGCTTCAGAGTTCGGTTTGGTTTTCTGCAGGGGTGTAGGGGTGAGAGAGGGGGTGTAGATCTTCACTGGAAACCATCGCGTCAAACAGATTAGGGGATGGCTTGTCATCAGTGCAGTTAAAACACTTAAATGTCTTTTGTCAGATATTTCTTAATACATTTAATTTACCATTCATGGTATTTCGGTTATGAGGGTCTTCATTTCTTACTAATACAGACAAAAATGAAATGTCCTTTAAAGAACATTCTAGCTACATTTCCTTTAAAACTGTAAGAGTAGTCAGTTATGCCTGACTGCTTTTTAATGAGAAAATATAATAAGAAATTGATCAAATCACTTAATAGCAAAGTGGTTGGGCAAGCTCTGGAAAATGCTTAAATGAAGCTGGCTTATCTGTAATGAATTCTTCATCACAATTAAGTCGGCGATGCTCCGGGGCTGCCGCTGCCCCCTTCCCCTTGCCAACTTGCCACGACTCATCCCCTTGGCTCATGCCACAGCCCTCCACATGCCTCGCTCGCTGCTCTACATGTGA